AACAGAAGAGGAATTAGCAAACAGAGTAGTAGCGCAATACAGTTATGAAGCCACCCAGCCAGAGGACCTAGAATTCCAGGCAGGAGATGTGATACTCATCCTATCCAAAGGTAACTATATTCTTGTGGCATTGACATGCAATACTCCTTGTAAGAGCACTGGCCAGATTTCAGGGTACCTGCAGGAGCTTCCACTTACTTTGATAGGAACTTCCAAACTACGGTAAAAATTAACTTGGTTGGTTGATGCTCACCAGTAGCTCTTCAGCACATCAACTCTACTAGAAACCATTAGTCCCTTTTTTCAGTTTCTTGCATCTCCTTCATGCATATTGTGCTTGGAATCTACTGAGCCATAGGTTGGATCAAGCAAATTAACCAGAGAGAAAAAGTCTGCCGTTTCCAGCTGTTCCAGCCCACCTGCTTGGCAAAAGGTTTCTCATTCTTCAGTTCCTTCCCCACCTCCTCCTCCTCCCCCAGCAACACCCTGCACTACTGCAACATTTTACCATTTTCAGAAAACGCAAACTAACTAAAGGAGGCTTGTAGAGCCTGTTGGGTGTGATCTTAGCTCAACAAGCGGTAGTCGTGTGCTAAGATGGTCAAGGGAGGTACACCTCACTTCCCACCCTTAAGAGACCTGTGTTTGTATTTGAAACCTGCAGAATGAGTTCCCAGGACTCCAAAGGTATCCATTTTTTTCATAGACAAACCTATTAAGGTAAAAGCAGCTTCTGCTCCATTGGCCGTTTGCTTTATGAAGCTGACAGAATTTTAAACTCATCAGCTGATCCACTGAGCAGCAGGTGAAGGAGTGCCAAGTGTACACTAGCAAACCTCTCAAAAGTTCCCCCCTTATTCCCAGATTGTTTTGGCCCATTCTTCCCCAGAAGTTCTGTCCACACACGAGTGTTACTATATTTCCCTTTCCAATCCACCTCCAGGCAGCCACTTCTATAATCTATTAGTTATAGCCATATATACATTTTACATTGCTCCCAAGATTAAATGACTTTGCTGGAAACTTTATCAATGTATCTATCAATGTATTGATCACTTCTTCCTTTTGGGGGATGGAGGGCGGACAGGGGACGACAGCTTTGAATGTCCAATTTCAATTACTGCCACCATGTCTCAGAAAAAATGAAGTTATTTATTTTCCAAGTCCTTCTCCTTAAATCAGTTTCTTTTCTTCACTGAACCATTCTCTCTCTTAAGGTAAACTTTTGTATTAAACTTAGATCTTGCTGGTATTTTGAAAGATCAGATACACATCCTCATATATGTCTGGTATTTCAGACATTTCAAACATTATTATGTGTGAGGATGTGTATTAGACCTTGCTGGTATTTTGGTTCTGATCCCTCAAGTCAGTGCCTGCCATACAACTGCAAGGCCAAGGCTGTTGCAGTTGTGAGTAGAGGATGCTGGTGAGCACAACGTTAAGAAGCAGAGTCCTCTGTACCAGAGCTGCTATGTCTACTTCATTACTTTCAAGGGCTTTGAGCAGAAAAGGTGAGGAGGCAGAGAACTTGTTGAAAGAAAAGGATTTAGAAGGCACTCCTCAGAATACAAGTGAGATTTACCTATATGCTAACCTTAGATCCAACTCCTGCTATGAGGTGGGAATAAACTGGTGGCCATATGGAAGGGGTATCATTAATAAAGGGTTTTGCTCCTTCTATGCTGCCTCCCTGCCCAGCTCTTTTTGCCTTTTTTTAATACCTCATTAAATCGTCAGCCCCTTTTTATTTCAGCCATATCTTTGCCAGCCTTTCAGCATATTTACTTACCCAGTAATCTCAGGAACTGTTTGTAGTGTGTATGTGTGTGCGTGCGTGTGTGCGTTTTGTTTTTTTTAACTTACACAGAGTGACAAGTGTAATTTTTATCTTCCAGTGAATGAAGACTGGTTAGAAGGCCAGTGCAATGGGAAGGTTGGTATTTTCCCATCAGCTTTTGTTCAGAAGTGTGATGATAAAAAAGACACCGAAATTAATTCGGTAGAACCCTGAAGAGCCCAGGACATACAAGGAAGCCTAACAGTTTCTAAAGTTGCATACAAGAAGTCTCATCTCATCATCCGCTGCATTTAAAAACAGACTCAAGTGTAATTCTGGAGTGTAAAAAGGCTGTACGTTTCTTTGTTTCACACTTCTCTGTTGTATCAGCTCTTACTTAAAACGGGTACCACTAGGTCACTGGAAATATGGTTATGAACCATCTTCCCAATGATAAGACCAGACATTTAATACTGCATGAAAAGAGCTACACATCTCAAATGGCCTAGTAGCAAGAGCCCTCTCTCCATGGCTAAGTACAGAAAGTCAAAAAGCCTGAGGCTGAATTGATTTAGTCTTTGCAAGTTAGTCTGAGCTGCATAGATTAAATTGAAACAGAAGTGAACAGACATTTACCTTTGATTCAGGTAATGCAACTAGAACATAGATCTCTCACATGTAGCTAGTATGGGCTACATATTCACTTCCTCTTCCTGCTGTCCCCGAGGTCTCTGGGATTTGTAGTCCAAAAATTACAGCAGCAGGACTCTGCAGGGTTGCTTATCATTTCTTCTTCCTGCTTCTAGGTGCCTCTGGGATTTGTAGTCCACAGCCAGCAGTAAGTTTGAGCAGGGAAGGGGTGTTTAACCCCCTCCCCCCTGGCCCCAGTCCCCAGCTGGGGTTTGCCTGTAAGGGGCAGTTTCTCTTCTCCTCCCCTCTCCCCCCCCCC